TGGTTGCGGATCTTCATGCGCTGACAAGTGGCACAGCCTCGGATGTATTCGCGGATGAAAACAGACATACCGGGCCACCAGAAGTCCCGCTGCACGAGTTCCATCGTATGCATGCGTCCAGGATGGCCCGCAGCTGGTGTATCGTGGCAAAGACGCACAATGTTGCGCTGTAGGTCCTGATCTTCAGGGATATAGAGGCGACCATTGTATGTGAGGAGACCGTCCTTCTGTTCCCAGCCGACAAGCTTGCGCTTCAGTGCAGCCGGTCCCTCCTCGTCAATGATGCATAGGGCTTCTGTCACCTCTTGATCCTTCGTGTCTGTATCCAGGATTCGTTGCCTGACCCCGTCCAGGGATACCAGCTGGGTGGCATTAATGGACACCTCGGCCACCAGGAACAGGACGCGGTTAGAGTTGTCCTCAGAGACCCCAAGGCGATGGTCCGGACGGCGGGACATGGGGTCAGCGTGGTTGTATCGGCCCGGACGATGGCGGAGGATGAAGTCAAAGCGGGATAGGTATAGGGCCCACCGAGCCTGGCGTCTATTCAGCTTCTGCGCAGTGGTGAAATACTCGAGGTTCTTGTGGTCGGTAAAGATCTCAACCTGATGAGGAGAACCCTCCAGATAATGACGCCAGTCCTCGAGCGCGCGGATGATAGCCAATAGTTCTTTGTCATGGGTGTCGTAGTTGCGCTCTGGAGCGGTGAGCGCATGGGAGAGATACGCCACTGGATGCCAATCATTATCCTTGCCGCGTTGTGACAATACGGCGCCGATGGCAAAGTCCGATGCATCACATTCTACGCGGTAAGGCTTAGTAGGGTCTGGCATGAGGAGGACGGGGGATGACGTAAATGCTCGTTTCATCTGATCAAAGGCCTCTTGCTCTGCCTCTCCCCGGCGCCAGGTGACCGTCTTCTTGGTTAGCTCAAAGAGCGGGCGTGCAATGAATGAGAAGTCGGTGATAAAACGGCGATAGAAGTTGGCGAATCCGATGAATGACTGA